GAAGAAAGGCAAGTTTAATTCTAAGAGTTGCTCTTTATACCTAATGAGCAGGGTCAGCCAAGGATACAGTGTGCAAAACATAAATCAAGCAGAGTTCAAAGTAAAGAGTTGTTTTCTTTTCTGTTACTAACCAAACCCTTTCCCAGAGCTCCAGTTGGTGAGAAAGGAAAACACAAGCCCATCCGCTATCATTCTTGCTGTCCCAAGGCAGTGCTCGGCCCTTGACTCTGGGAGGCAGTGTTCCCTCAATGCCCAAACATTTTCTTGCTTTCGAGAGACAGCTGGATTCTATCTTGTCCTTGATTCACCTTCTGCAGAAGTACTCTATCCCTGAGCCCAATCTTTGGAGTTTTAGTCCAGGTCCAGTTTCTTGTTTATTTCTTCTATCTCAGTTTCTGTAAACCATTAATTGGCGTTTGTTATTTGTCCTCTTGGACATCACCATGACACTCCAGCTCATGCCATTTCAAGTCCAGATATGCAAGGCGTTTAAGACTCTGTATAGAGTGGTTTCAGGCTTCTCTGTGCCGCCATAATTTTAGTTATAGGGCAATTAAGTTATTTCTTGGTCTAGTTATTCAGTCATTGCCTCTATGTACAGCTAGAGTGTTTCTATCTTCATTGTGTATAGACAGCTATTCCCTTCTGTGGAATGTTCTTCTCTATCTATTACCATATAATTTCTACCTTTTCTTTTAAGATTCAACTCAAATACTTCCTCTTTCGTGTAGTTTTCGTGTAATATTCCACATTTGCTGAGCTCCGTCCTATGCTATATTATTGGACAATTATTTAATGCTAAGCACTGGGGCTTTTTATGTAAGTTAGTTATTCCTGGCCATCTTCTGTATCACCTTATGTTCTAAAACCACTTTTGTTAATATAGGATGAAAAGACCATAAAATCCACCCTTTCATGTGCTTTGAAAGATACATTCATGAGACTGAGGAAACATCACCACTCTCCAGTCCCCCAATTAACAGTCACTCTCTCTTTTCCTCTCCACTCAACCTCAAGGAACCATTAACCTTTCTGTCTCAATGGATTTGCCTATTTGAGGTGTTTCATTAGGAGTAAAACAATATATGATATTTTGTACCTGAGTTCTTGTTCCTTAAAATGATGTTTTCCAGCATTCATTCACATTGTGGTATGCACCGTATTCATTCATTAGTTGAGAAACATTGGGGTCACTACCCATCTTCAGTTAGTGTGGTTATGAACATTTGTACTCAAGTTTGTGTGTGATCATGTCTGTATTTCCCATGAGCATCTGTCTACCTGGTAGCGGGCTTTTAGTTCCTCTAGGTCCTCACCTGTACTTGCTGCTTTTGTTTTTGTTGATAACCATCTTCATGAATGTGAAGCCCTAGCTCACAGAGGTCTTTAATTTCTCTAGTGTGTAGTGATGCTGAATGTCTTTTTATTTGCTTATTGGCCATTTGTATATTTTATTTGGGGGCAATCTATGCTCAAATCCTTTGCAGGTTTCAAAAAATTAGGTTTATTGACTGTTTTAATGTTGAGCTTAAGCTTTCCCTATGAATTCTGGAGATTCACTTTGTCAGACACAGAATTTGTATATGTTTTCTGTGTGAGCTGCATTCACACTTTTAAAGAAAAATTGCATCCTTTAGATAATAAAATTTTAAGGTTCTGATGGCATTCTGTTTTTTTGTTTATTCTTTTGGTATATTTAAGAAAGTATTGTCTAGTCCAAGGTCACAATATTTTTGTATTTTTCTCCTGTGAGTTTTATACATTTATGCTTCTGATCCATTTTGAGTTTGCTTTTCATACTGTGTGAGGTGGACTTCCCTTTTCATTCTTTTGCAGGTAGCTATGGAGTGTCCCATGATCATTGCTGAAATGATCATTCTTTTATCATTGAATTGTCATAGACCCCAATTCTCTCTTTGAACACATTTTTATTATCTTAAATTAGGTGTTACAATTTTTGAGGTTAGGGAATGTCTCCTAAATTATATCTTTCTTAATAGTATGTCTTATCCATATGTGATACCCTCCTAAGATATATGTACTAGAGGCTTAGTGGCCATCTTGTGGTGTTACTAGGGGGCAGTGGGACCATTAGGATGTAGGGCCTATTGGAAGAAGTTAGCTCATTGGGGGCATGACCTTGAAGGAGCTATTGGGACCCCAGCTCTTCCAAACCTCTTTGCTTTCTGGATGCTACAAAGTGAGCAGCTTTGTGGTCCCACATGCTGTCTGCCATGATTATTCTGCCTCCTCACAGATCCCCAGTGGAGCCTCTGGATGATTAACTGATACTTCTGAAAGTATGAGGTAGGAAAGGAAGCTTTTCCTCTGTTACAAGCTGATTTTATTGGGTATGGAGAGCTGAAATGAGACCCCACAGTAGTATCTGATTGCTATTTTGCTAATGCCTTTTTCTCTAGACAGTAGGCTTGAGGCGATGCTTTGCTTAGCTTTGTTCAGTAGTTTTGTGCTTCAGAACAGGCTATGCATCTATGTCAGGACATATTTTTGGATGACCAAATTAGTGATTTTTTAAAAAACAGATAGTCATACCTTTCTTCAGGATTTTGTTCTTACTTGGAGCAGAATGCTTATAGCAAGTCCCAGGGAAGAGATGTGTGAGGGCCAAGCAAGATTACCCACAAAATAATCCCAAGTTTGCTCTGATATCGACACTGCATGAATCTGCCCTGTCCACTTTAGTTTGCTTGGTCCTCTTTGGCTCAGATCACACAAACAAGTGTGAAGGAAAGAAACCTCTTTAAGAATTATGAATTTAGAGCCAGACATGGTGATGCATCTCTAATCCTAAGCACAGGAGAGGCAGAGGCAGGCAGATTGCTGTGAGATCAAGGCTGGCCTGGTCTACATAGCAAGTTCTAAGTCATCTGGGGCTACAGGGAGACCCTGTCTCAAAGAACTAAAAAAATAAAATTAGAGGCTTAGCCTAGGAAAATTTCACATTTACTCCTCTCAGTGATTTAAGATATTCATCAAAACATAACTTCATAAATGATTTCCTGCTATTGCTTCTGTGTAATGGATCTTTGATGATTTCATTTGGTCAGAGTGAAATTAAAATTTAATTTCCTGATTTAAAACAATTACGTGTATTTATCTATTTTTATATATTTATTCATTTATATTTATTGACTTTTGAAAATTTATTTTCTTTATGGTCAGAAAACATTTTTTACAAAAATAGAAATTGAGGGGAAAAATCTAATTATTGGATTCTATGTTGACAAAGGATAATTGTGGGGGAAATTCAGCAAGAATTCTCATTCTTTTAAAATAGACATTAAAGGTATCTTACAAAGAATCTTGAGACTTTGGTAAAAACTGATATTTTGAGATCATAACGAATAAAATAAAATCCATAAGGAGATCATGGGTTTCAGATAGGAAAAAATTTAGAAATTAAATATTGCATTTAAAGAATGTTCAGTTTTATTTTCCTCCTCGATCTGACTCTACTCACAGTCTTTTTCTTTCATCTAAGCAGGAGCACCTGCCCTGTACTGGACATGGACATTGCTGGGAGCAAGCAGGGCCTTGCTAATGACTTATTGGTTGAGCAATTTCCTTGGAAATGTATGTAAAGTGTGTAAGGATACCCTAATGTGATCCACTATGACTACTGAAACACTGACCTTGAACTGAGGCTGGTGAAACATCCCAGTTTGGTGTTATAAAGATGAATGGGGAAACATCCAAGGAAGAGTCCTTGGTTGTAGCATAATCACTAAGTTTTATTCATTAGGAGCTCAATTTGAAGATTTCACATAGAGAAAAGTTCTATACCCCCCTCTTTCTTTTCTGTATTGCTAGAAATACCTTCTACTGGTAATCTCTCTTGAAGTAGAAATATTGGAAGGAGTGCTTTCCATACAACTGTCACACCTGGAAGCAGATAGATTACAGCATCTGGTTGACAGGTTATAGTGATCTCTTCCTAGGCTGACAGTCTTTCTAGGTAAGGTGCTGGGATCTCTGAACATGAACGGGTTGAAAAGTAGGGCAGCTGTTGCCTGAGGTTTGACATTTTAGCTGTGTATTTGCAAGCATGATTTTCCTGAAAATGTCTCTAGTACTTATGATCTGCATTCTATAACCTGCCAGCTAACTACACATTAATGGCACAAGTACTTTTCTGAATGTAAATTTCTAAGTGTTTTTATTCCCAATACTCATATTCTGACTCCTCTGTGACTCAACACACCTTCTGGTCAGACTAGGCGCTTGATAAAAACGTGCTTGTCACTAGAAGTCTATGCAGACATTGGGTAGAAAATTCAGTTATTTCTAACATCACCTGGATCTGAGTATGAAGATCTGGGTCTGAGTCAAGTTCCCCCATTATTACTTAGGACTGTTACAGGGTACCCTGGCTTGTTTGCTACTTTGCATTACTTTCAGAATAAGGGTAGACATGCTTTGTAGGTCATGAAGGATCAAGTGAAATTATTTCATAAAATGCTCTATCATCTGGAAAGCATTCTGTAAGTACAAATATTGCTTGTCACTTGAGATCTGGACACCCATTATGGTATTTTGGTCTTCCATTCTTTCTTTTCTTGCCTAAAGCCTAAAACTAGGCAAATGATGTGACTATAAGCCTAGGACAGATGTTGGGCAAAGTGAAGACACAGACTGTTGCTTATGTATGAACTAAACTGTTTGTACAAAGAAGGGGTTGGGTATTGGCCTTTCATAGCTTCCCAAATGGGATACAGAAGCTCAAAGAACATGCCATAGTGGCATCCCTATGGGAAGATAGGTGCAATCTGTCTCATTGCTTCTCATATTTATTATTTCTATTTTCTTTAAGACAATGGTGCAAAAGAGACCCCACTAAACATGTAGATGTTGAAGGGGGTGAAGATAGTTCAGAGATGGATGAGTCATGGGTCTTTTCCCTCCCTGTTATTGATAAAAGGAATGGGATAAAAAAAAAGTGCCACTACCATTAAAATGCCTAGTCAAGAAAAAGTAAGAATCAAGTTCCTCAGCATTTCTGCCATGGTAAGAGTTCCCAAGCAAGAAACAACACAATCTGCTACAGTTGCTGCATTCCCTGAAAGTGAAGGAGAGGAAGGTGCTGGAAATATGGAGGGTAAATGCAGACCATAGGCAGCTATGGAAGCTCTCTAAGCATTATTGCTTACAAAAGAAAATGTGAAACAGAAGGAAGAGGTTAGGGCAAGATCTCATTTTCCACTGGCAAGGATTCCTGATCTTGAGGGGGCTCTGGAAAGTTTATTTCTGCTTCTTCTTCTTCTTCCTCTTGCACTGGAATAATTTCAATCTCTTCTTCATTCTTTGGTTGGGAGGGCATTTCACTGAGCTCAATGGTTTCGATTTCTTCTTTCGTTTTGATTGTCTGGTCTTTTTTTTCTCCAGCTGACAGGAGAACCACATTCTAGAACACAAACAGAGGCTTCTTGACCTTTTCCATGGACATGGTTCTCAACAATCTGCACACATTTATCAAATACCAATTTGTCCTTTTGGTACTTTGTTTCATTTGTCATATACCATAAGATACCAAGACTGACTTTTCAGATGCTTGGATCCTTACCCAATCACCTACTTATTAAAATTCAAGTCTGAGTAAATCCTCCAGGCTCCAGGCATTTCCCAGTTTGCCTGAGATAATCAATCATACCACAGGGAAAAAGAACACATCAAAAATAGAGGCGTTTAGAATCTAGTTCTGATTTCCTTTGGGACTTATCACCTGGGAAGTGATTCTCCTTCTCCCTTTCTCCTTCTGCACAATAAAGGAGTCAGTTATGACTTCTGAGTTCTATTCTAAATCTTGCAGTCTGAAGTTCTCAAATAGTGGCTAATAGCTCTATTATTGGGATATTCCTATTTCTCAACTTTGGAGTCTCTTTGAGTACGTACAGTGAGGTCAAGGGAGCAGGAGGAGAGAGGAAGATTGAGAAGTGAGCAGTGGCTTTATGAGCCTTCAACCTTCAGCTATCCTGTCGTGCATATTAAGATGGGAACATGAAATGGAGGTGGAAGTCTTAAGTCTAGTAGAGGAAAGGTTAGTAAGAAGGTACGTGGTATAGAACTCTAGCTTCTGTCTAACCATAGACTTATTTCCAATATTATTTATTATTCAAAACACCTATTTTCACTATTGGTGTTTTCTGTTTCCCAGAAATATGGCAAAACCATTTTTGTTCACCCACAAAGCTCCTGTTTCAAATTCTTATGAGATTCAGTTCTATGTGAAGCATGCTTTGTAGGTGTGAATTCACAGAAAGATGTTAATGGACAACTTATGCTTTAGACAAACATGTTTACGCGATGGCTCTAACTTACAGCTTTGGGTCTGGAGCACATTCTCTTCCATTCGTTCTCCACGATGCCAGCTGTTACAAGCTTCTGGAAGAAGGCAAAGATCAGCATCACTGACAAAATGCCCTGAAAAGCAACGGAATGGAGGTGAAAATGTGATAACGGCAGGACAGAATGGTTGCTGTACAGTAATGACTGATGATTGAAATTCAGTGATGAAAAGAACAGATTGGTTCTTTAGGGAATGATGGGTGGCGAGCAGCTCAGGGAACTGCTGCTGTAACAGCACCTTCACATCCTGAGTGCTTAACATAACTTCAGGCACAGCAAAGCAAGGCAGGAAGAATAAACTAAAGAACCAATCCTAGGTAGGAAAGAGTAAATTACATGAGTCTTACATTAAATCCTATCAGCTTGGTCTGGCACTGTAGCTCAGTTGGTAGAGTATTCGTCTAGGATGCATAAAGCCCTGGGTTCCATCCTCAGCACTGCATAAACCAGGCATGGTGGTGCATGCCTAGAATCCCAGTACTGGGGAAATGGAGGCAGGAAGGCAGAAGTTCAAGGTAATTCTTGGCTACATAGTAAGGTCAAGGCCAGCCTGAGCCAGATGAAACTGCTAAAAAAACATTCAAACGGTTTTAGGCTCTGCGGCATCATGCCAACTTCAACACTTGAGGGCTAGAGTCATTCCCCCTTCAAAATCTACACTTAGAATTTTGTGAGGAAAATATGTTCACAACATCTTAGGAATTTCTTCCATATTTATATTAATAATAATTGTTCTTAATGCCGCTATTGCCTTTTATAATAGTGAACAAACACATAAAGCTAGGTGTGGTGGCACATGACAGATATCTTAGCACTCAGGAGGCTGAGCAGGTAGATTGTTGTGAATTTGAGGCTAGCCTGTGCTACATACTGACTGGTAGGTCAACCAGGGCTACATAGAATTACCATTGCTCAAAAGAAATAATAAATACAAAACCAGAATTTTCTCTATATAAGATATTATTCTAAGCGATGTACGGGCCAGGTTCTTCCCCAAAGCCATATTATGCAAAAAGTAGCAAACACAGACCATCTGAATTCAAAGCTGATATTCATAATATAAAAAGTACCATGTTTCAGGGCTAGATAGATGGCTCAGTGGTTAAGAGCACTGACTGCTCTTGCAGAGGACTCAGATTCGATTTCTAGCACCCACATGGCAGTTAATAATCATCTGTAATTCCAGTTCCAGGGAAACATAACACCCTCTGACTTCTGAGGGCATTGCATAACACTGGTACACCTATAGACATGCAGGCAATACACTTATACACATAAAATAAAAATAATAAATAAAAGTTTAAAAATACCATGTTCCTTCTGTGGAGAGGAATCTAACTTCATACTTACCAGGAACACAGATTGTATGTTGTAGCAGTATTGTGTAGATGGAGAGTTTTTCTCAGCAGGGTTAACAGGTTCACAGTTGTAGATGTTAATATAAGGCATGGGAGTTTTAATAAGATTCAGACTCTCCATCTTTAAAAAATGTGAAAGTTTAATATTAAGTATGTCCATGATCAAAAGGATGATTCCAGAAATGGCGGCAAAGAGGCTCAGTGAGCTCAGTATCACTTTCACTTTGACCTGGAGCACAGACAAACAGATTTGCTGATTAGATTTGATTTTTATTTGGTAAATATACAGAGTGTGAACAAATCTGGCATGTTATCGTACCCAGGATGGAATCCCAGATGCCATTCCCCTGAATCATAAGGATGCTACAGCCCAAATTCTACCACAGTTCTCTATTGTTGGTTATAACCCCTTTGTCACTAAAAAATAAAGCTGTTAGCTTTCTCTCTTTCTCTCTCTCTCTCTCTCTCTCTCTCTCTCTTGCTCTTTTTCTTGTCTTCTAGTTTCATTTTATGCAGCCACCATCTGTTCAATTTATGAAACCAAAATTCCTAGTTTATATCCCTGTACTTCCTTCATTACCACCATTCTCCCAACATGTAATCAATACTTGTTGAGTAAATAAGTATTAATGGCATCCAGATTATTATCTCTTTGCATAAAAGAGCAGTGGACAGAGCAATAAGGACAATGTTCTGTCACACCTGAGTGGGGTGGCACTGTTGGCATAGACTGGAAGGAGACAGAACCTTCTAGGTATGTGCTATCAAATATAATGTATCCACCACAATAACACAACTACTTTTCCTTATGGACAAAGGCATAGTCAGTCCCAGTGGACTGTTTTCTAAAATACCATTGGGACTGATTTGTCTGGGTAACAAGGGCTGGAGAAAGTGGGTGTGGATGCTCTACTTTGCATGGATGATCAAAGCTTAACACAGGAAGTCATATATGGTGAGCTCATGGTGGTGTGGAATGGCTGATGATTGTTTCATGAAATAAATATTTCATTGCTACCTACCCGTGGCAAGTCAGTAGTTTTGGTTGTATTTGATATTTGTAAACAATTTCTTTCTCCCCAAATGGAATCTGTCAAACACTTTTAGAGAGGAACCATCTTAATCCACTCAGTGCCTTCCTAACAGTGACTCAGTTTTGTGTGTGGAATAACACACACTCTTGTCACCATTCAGAATCAAGATTCCTTAGGGTACTTTTTTTTTTTTTGTGAGTGTGAACAAATCTGACACACACCCGATGTTCCATTTGATCCTCCTGTTGATTTCATGTCAGCCGGGACTAGCACTTTCAATTACAAGTGAAATCTCAATGACTCCTCTGTACTTGCTCAGGGTTCTAACTTAGCTAGAACAGGAATCAACTGCATCCATCAGATAATTTTCCTAAATGGTGTGTGAGGGGAATGGCATTCTTTTAATTTCCATACAGAACTTAACATTGAAAAGAACATGGTAAGTGCAGTCTGTGGAGCTCTGCCTTTGATACTGTTTCCTTGAACAGACTTAATTAAGGCAGATGTCATTTTCAAAGCTTTCATGAATAAAATCACAACCAATACTATAAAGGATTCTTTGCTTAGGGAGAGTCTGTGACTGCAAAGCCTGGTTTACAACTGGAAAGGTAATTATCTCCCTGATGTGTGGGAAAGGACATACGGTTACTTGCCAAGCTCTTCCTGGAGGTTTGTTCTGCTGCTGCCAGGAGTGATCCAGAAATAATATACTGTAAAGAGAGGTGGGTAGGTAGAGGGTAGGAGAAGGAGGAAGGGGATGGAGAGAGAGAGAGAGAGATGACATTTTAACATTGAGATCTGGTTGTAAGGAAGCCATCTACATTTGTAGCCTTCTTCACTAAAACTCTGGTGCTTCAAATTTCATCAGGTTAGTTAATGTCCTTGCAGTTATATTCCAGTTCACCTACATTCAGTCCATGCTGTTTGATCTCTGACGATCACTAACTAGAACAGAATAAACAAAGAGACAAAACTCACATTTCCCTGTCAGTGAGAGCCCTCTTGGTCTGCACCATCAAATATAAACATAAGGAATCATGCACAATAATATGCCTTACTCCTTATCAACATAAGGAGTTGCAATTAGCCCTGGATACCATGTTTCAAAATATAATTAGGGCTGGTGCCTGGGAGGCATAGGTAGGAAAGTGTCAGTGTGAATTAAAACGTTTTATTCTCTATTTACTTAGTGAAAATATTCTTTGGAGTCACAGTGATTTAAATGGCTTCATTGCTACTGGAAGTATGTCAACCAGAAAAGCGATATTCGTCTTGAATATGATAGACCCTTCTTTAAAATGTTGGTTGTTACAGGAAGTAATGGTGATTATCTACCCAAAGTCAGTTGTTACAGGAAGTAATGGTGATTATCTCCCCACTTCCTTTCCTACAGTTCAAGCTGTAAAAGGGAGGGAATCTTGTAATGAACCTACCCTTGTCCTGACAGGTTCCATGCTGGACTTACTTTTAGAGTTACACAATCATGGAAGTATCCTGGCAACATAAACACAGCTGCCTCGGGTTGCACACAGCTACACATTTGGCAGACATGAATATTAAAGAGCCCAAAGGAGTGTTCCTGCAGTGCTCATGTGGTGGTTTGAATAAAAATGTCCCCCATAGGCTCCAAGTATTTGGACATTTTGTCCACAAATGATGGTGCTGTTTTGGGAGGTTTTAGAAGGTGTGGCTATCCTGGAGGAAGCACATCACTGGGGATGGGCTTAGAGAATTCTTAAGCCATGCCAGATCGGTAGTCGCTCTCTCTTGTTTCCTATGCTTTCTCCTCTTCTCCAGCCACCTCTGCCACCATGCCTTCCCACCAAGAAGGACTATAATTCCCATGGAACCATAAGCTCAAATAAACTCTTCTATAAATTGCTTGGGTCAGTATTTCTATCATAGCAATAGAAAAGTTACTAATACAGTAATTGGTACCAGAGAGTGGGCTGTTGGCAGGTCAGAACCTGACCATGTGGGGTTTTGGAAAAATGTGGAAGACTTTGGAAGTTTGGGCTAGAAAAGTGGTTGATTGCTGTAATCAGAGTTTAACAGGCCATTCAAGTAAACACCTGGAAGAAAGTAGTGCTGAGAACAATGTAGTTCCAGAGGGAAATAGGACTTGAGCAGCACTTGGGATATTTTGGCAAAGTCTGGCTGGAGTCTGCTCTAGACCCAAAAGCTTGCCTGAGGCTAAGTTGAAAAGTAATGGACCAATTTCTTTGGTGGAAGAAATTTCAAGACAGCCTAATGTAGAAATGGTGGTGTGGCTATTAATGGTGAATATTATGCAGATCTACAGTGAAAGAGAGCAAATGGGGCAGAAAGAAATGCAGTTTGGATTGAAAAAGAGCACTAGGAAGATAAAAATTGGAGCCCTGGCATGTGATCCCATTGATAAGGAGATTAAAGTGATTAAGTAGGGGCCTAGAGATGCAAACTTAAACAATGGAGAGAGTGCCTCCAGGGCAAGACCACACCCAGTTAAGCCTCCAGCTTGTAAAAGGAAAATGCTGCAGGGGCCATGGAAGAGAAAAGCTTCTAAAATGGATAAAGCAGGCTGGAGTCCATCCCAAACTTGCAGTCAAACTTGGCATTGTCATTCACCTGGTGCTGGCTTTAGAGGCATGAAAGATGGAAGAGTGAAGGGGTCATCAATTCTTCCTCCGAAGTTTCAGAGAGCCTCGGAGGCCAGGCAGCATGCAGCAGGGGTATCCCTGCCTAGAGAAGGCCCTGATAGGCCATTGCGTGAAGTTGTGAAGGTGAAGCCTGGTAGGTAATGGAGACCCCCAAGAAGTTTGTGATGCCAGAGCTGTGAGGCATCTGCCAAGAAGACCTGCATACAGGGAGTGGTACCAGCGCGAGAGAGATGTGTTGCATGCAGCAAAGCTAGAGAGGTTGGACATCTAAGTAAAGTCCCAGAAATTGGACATGGAGCTACTGGATTTTGTGTTTGCCCTGCTGGTTTTCGGTCTTGTTTTGGTCCAGTATTTCCTTACTATGCCTCCAGTCCTCCCTTTTGGAATGGTAATGCATATTTAGTTCCACTGTATGTTGGGAGTATGTAATTTGTCTTTTATAGAGGCTTACAGTTAAGATATTTACCTGTGGGCTGTGGACTTTTGAATTGTATTGTGACTGATAATGACTATGGGGACTTTTAAAGTTGGACTAAATGCATTTTGCATTTTATAGGATCATGAGCCTATGGGGGCCAGGGGATGGAATGTGGTGGTTTGAATAAAAATGTCCTCCATAGGCGCCAAGGGTTTGGACATTTTGTCCCCAGATGATGGCACTGTTTTGGGAGGTTTTAGAGGGTGTGGCTATCCTGGAGGAAGCACATTACTGGGGGTGGGCTTAGAGAGTTCTTAAAAGCCTTGCCAGATCACCAGTTGCTCTCTCTTGTTTTCTGTGCCTGCTGGAAGATGTAGAGCTTAGCTTCCACTCCTCTTCTCCAGTCACCTCTGCCACCATGCCTCCCCACCAAGAGGGACTATAATTCCCCTGGAACCATAAGCTCAAATAAACTCTTCCTTCTGTAAATTGCTTGGGTCAGTGCTTCTATCACAGCAACAGAAAAGTTTGACTAATACAGCTCATAAATGCAAAGAGATTGATTTGGGATTGGGATAATCTCACCAGGTGCCATGGTAACTAACAGAATTGTAGGGTGCTAGGAGGACTTGGGATGCTCCCTTTCCTCCTTTCTAAAATACCAAATACTTGTCCCTTGTGAGAACTGGCTGTGGAAAGGCCCTGTGTACATCAAGGGGAGCATCTTTCCCTGAATCCATATGAGGCATGACACATGAAACTCACAGGGCACATGTAGTATCATCCACATGTCTTCCTACTGAACTATATTAACCAAATAAACTCCTTGCCTATACATTTTCCTCAACACAGAAACAGTAGAGAGCTTTTTGGCATTTTTTTCCTTCATCATGTCACAAATGGCTGTTCTTTGTTTAAACTTACCATAATGCCTCCCCAGAGAGGGTACCACACACTCACACAGATGGGTGCATAGACCCCTGTAGGGATCATCAGCAGTCCCCCCAGGGCAATATGGAAGAGGCCATTCATGACCTGGACAGCCTGGGGAGAGAAGAAAGATGCTTGTGGTGAACAGAACTCATCCCTGCCAGAAGCCAAAGGATGGAAATTTGGGGCCTGACTTGAGACCCTGAAAGAGCATAAGGGAGTGGGGGGGTGGGTAGTGGTGCTGCAGATTTGCCTCTCTCTTGTTCAGATCCATTTTCCACATTGCACAGGGCATTTCCAAGGAATAAATATGTTTGAGATTCTAGCCATGGACTAGGATGGAAGATTCTTAACCTCTAAGCCAAGAGGTGACCCAAGATCACCTTGGAGTGGCCCTAGTGGTAATTCTTTGGTTCCTTTCTGGTCCAGCCTACTGTGCCAGACATCAAGAACACATCAGGTTGGATTATACTTGTTCAAGATGGAGTGAACTTCTATACAGGGCCTTCAGCATCTGCCTTTGCAGGCCAGAGCATCTCCAGGCTGTGGAATGGATAGAGGGGAGCTGTCTTACCCCCAAAGCCTTTGATTCCCTCATGAAGAAGCTTTGCGTGGGGCCCACTATTGAAGGCGTCCTCCTGAGGTTTACTTTTTGAGCGACTTGCATGGCAAGGGGGCCTTTTGTAGGCTCTGCTGGGAAAGTTCCACTCACTGAGTTTCTGGGTGTTGTCATTATGTTCTCAAAATTCCTGAAAATAAAATAGTAAGAGTAATGATAGAGGCTTTGACATCTTCCCTTCTGTCACCATCAGATGCCTTAGTCAGAAGTCCCTTCATGGCATCACTGAGGGTAGATAGGCCCTCTTTCTGGTAACCTCAGGCCTGAGGTAAGGCGTACTTCTAGGTTATGGGAAAGGAGCTAGAGGGACTGACTTAGGCAAGCACACTTGGGTCCAGAAGTGTGGGCTAGAATTCCTAGTCATCTTGTTTGGACACATTCCCACTGTGCTGGAGCTTGAACCCAAGACCCATTGTGAATGGTAGGAAAACACCACTGAGCATTAGTCTAATTGTCTCTCCTTGGGTACTCTCATTTGGAAAGTATATTTTCTATCGAGTTATTCATTTATCTGTCTTGGAACAGTATGACAGCCCAGAGGCATCATGTCAGAGTATGGGGAGGATTGTCCTTAGAATTAGGAGGAGCTGATTCTAGGCCATTCTCTCCCTCTAACTCTGTGACTTTGAGTCATTCACATCAAGAAGGCTGTCTAAGATCACATGCGAGATGGTGACCACTGGAGTCAGATTGCCTAGTAATCATTAAACAGTAATCATTCTCTTTACCCCGAGTTGTTGGTTCTTCAACTGCAAAGTGGAAGTGATAATAGTTCTTGTTTCATGGAGATACACGGACTAATGGTTCATGCATGGGTCGGGGGTCTTCTCATTTCAGTATAGCTAGCTCAAATGTCAGCTCTTCAAAGAAGTCTTCTATGGACCTTCAGCCTACTGTACACTCTCTTACATAGTCTCTCTTCCTCAGTAAATTCTATTTTAGTCACATTTTGGCACTTGTTACTGGTTACATTTACCTTGTTTACTTGTTTATTCTCATTCTCTCTCTCTCTCTCTCTCTCTCTCTCTCTCCAGAGAATGATTTTGTTGTCTCTTAACCAGTATCTAAAATAATGCTAGACTGTAGTAGCTTTTTAGTAAATTTTGAATAAATATGAAATGTATGTAAAGCACTTAAGTCTGAATAAGCATTGGCTGTTTTGTGATTCTCACTCATCTTACCTTTCTGAGCCATGGTTTCCACTTCATCCATCTGTAAAATGAGAATAGTACCCTTCTCATAGAGTTGTTGTAGGAAATGAGTGGATACTTGAATGAGAATGTGGCTGGTGGAGAGGATGAGGGCAGCAAGTGCTGTCTGTTTTACGCATGGGTTGTTTCTTTCTGAAGTGACAAGGTCATGAGCCACATTCATTCAGCACCTGAAGCTTGAGACTACTCAGCGTTCTTCATGAGCTCTTCGTTGGGGTTATTCATTCACTGGTTATGTCACCCACTTACAGAAATTCTATTGATAATTTCCTGTGTCTAGGAAATCCCTCTCTAGGGTCACACCCCTGGCCTCATCTTTATGGATGGTGAGTTGTGTAACTGTCTATCCAGATTTAATCATTCTAAGGCCACAGAGAGCTGGGTAGCTGCAGGTCTCCTCTAACACAGCCATATGAATCTCTTACTTTTGTACTTTTTTATTTTATATTATTTTTTGAGACAGTCTTCCTGTAGCCACAGCTGGCCTAGAACTTGCTATTGTAGGCCAGGTTGGCCTCCATCTCACAGAGATCTTGTCTCTGCCTCTCCAGTATTGGGATTAAAGGTGTGTGCCACCATGGCCCATAATGCCTACTTTATAATTACAAGAAAATGCCACCCCAGGTATCTCTTCTGAGTCTCACAGAGTAGATGAGGTTAAACATTGGCTCTGTTTTACAAAATAAGAAACAAAGGCAGAAAAGTTAGTTAACTTGTTCAAGCAGTGAGGCTTCTGGCCTGTCAAATGGGGTGACCATGCCTCAGCTGCTTTGTCTCCTGTTGGGGGGCAAAGACCCCAGACTCTTCCTTACAGACCTCTCCCTTTCCCTTCATGTATTTGTAACATTTAGGTGACTTGAAGCAGTTGGGAACATGGTCTGCCTGTGGCCTGGGCTGGAGGATCAAAAAGAGCTTGTGATGTGAGGTTTCTCATCTGATTGCCTCCCTGTTCTAAGTCACCAGATGTCGTATAGCCTGAGGGAATCTGCTGCATACCACAAACTACCACAAGACTACCGAAAAGGAATATATTCACATATCACACTAAGGATTTTGCAAATGAATTCTGGTTTAGGGCTAGAAAAACCTCAGAAACCAATCTGTTCATGTCACAAATTAGGAAACTGCTGCCTGGAGATGGGCTTTGCTTGTAAATATCTTACATGTAGTACTGGGGCCAAACTTGAAGGCAGGCATCACGATTCTGACTCAAATGCACTTTCTGATGGACCACAGTCTAGACCATATGACCACAAATGTTTACTTGAGCACATACTATGTATAAGGGAGATGGATATGCTAATTCTAATTTTCCCACACCTCCCTTTTGTGTAGGCATTGTATCTCCTTTCTATAGATGTATAAATGGAGCTCAAGATATGTTAATACATTTTCTCCATTCTAGGGGGCCTAATTTGGTGATGACTTAAAATGTAAAGACAATGACTGAATCAGCATTACAGTTAGAAAGGCAATGGCCAGATCAGTGTTACAGTTAAAGGTAATGATTGGATCAGTGTTACAGTTAAAGAAAATGACTGGATCAGTGTTGCAGTTAGCTTCAGTTGTCAACTTGACCTGGAGTCACCTGGAAAGAGGGAACTTCAGCTGAAGGACCTCTCAGCTCAGCCTGGCCTGAGGCCATGCCTGTGAGGCATTTTCCTAATTGCTAATTGATGTAGGAGGGCCTAGCACACTGTGGGTGGTGTCAGGGGGGCCAGGACTAGATGAGAAAGGCAGCTCAGCAAGCAGCGGTCCTCCCCAGCAGCCCCTGCTCCAGGTTCCAGATTAAGCTCCTGCACCTTCCTGCTATGATGAACTGTAACCTGTAAGCGCAAAGAAACCCTTTCTTCTCCCAGTAGCTTTTGGTCATGGTGTTTATCACAGCAAAATGAAGAAAATTATCATTGTTTTAATTCCTCATTATGTACCAGCTGCTCAGTGAAGGCTTGGGTCTATATATTGTTGGTGAGATAAACCTTTTGTTTAGCAAAATTCTGCTGGGGCTGCATCTATATTGGCTATAAACAGTAATGACTATAGAGAGAGGGACATTTTGTTTTTCTGTTAAAATAGTATGTTTATAATAGCAACTATATTTCTACAGAGTCTTGAAAAATATTACTACAAAATAGTATTTTATAAACAAAAATATGACTTACATATTTTTTATGGCAATACTATTTCTCTTCTCTCTCTCTCTCTCTCTCTCTCTCTCACACACACACACACACACACAGAGCTAGGCTCTGTAGACTGACCCTGCAATGATAAAATTATATTCTATGGAAATCCAGTAGCTAGAATGAGTCCACATACTCACGTGACTGCTACAGGTCTCACAACTTTACTTTATTATTTAAACGATACAAAAATGACTTGAATAGAATGTGTCTCACAGCTAAGTGCAGAGATAATCTGGTAGATCAATGAGCACGGGTGCTGAAATCAGGACTCACTCAGTCGTGCCCCGCCCCTCCCCATCTTATCTCCCACAGCAACTTCTGCAAATCTTTTCTGCGTTCAGGAGGCGCCAGCATTTCCTTGTCTATCCCCTGAAGATCTCACAGCTTCTTGTGCAGGTCTTAGTTTGAATAATGACTTTTAGGTCCAATAACTCCATCATCTACTGAGAAGTTTGAAGCCCCCTAACCTCAGGTTCCTCTTTTGAAACTCAAAATAACTTTGCCTTCATCCTTTTCGGCCTCCTGTGCACGCACAGTGGAGGATGGATGCTCTTAGGTCCTGTCCCCATGAATGCTCTTAGTCTGCTTCTACCAAGGTACTTGCTCTTCCCAGACATTTGTTCTTCCTTGCACTGAGTTTCACCCTATTTGTGGCCTAATGTAGCAGAAAGAGCTGGGATCCAGTTCTTGCTGTACTTGTGATCGCTATACAGTCAGGATTAACATAAGATATACTGTGGTAGATAAGGTAATAAATACTCAAAAAACAATTGTTTTTACCGGATCCCTACGATGAGTAGAATGTGCTACCGTGTCCCTGGAGTCCCCAAACCCTCATGTTTAGATCTAGCAGTTTCCTCAGCCACTACGCCCCCATTTCCCTTTCCTTTACCTCAGCTTCTTCAAACTTTGTATTCCACCCTTTTCCCCAACTTCCTCACCGCCCACACACTCCACAGTGCTCTGCAATTAATTTCTACTAGTCACTCAACAGAAACGTCTCAGCTCAAAGGCTGTGCGGCAGCCGGCAGCCTTTTTAAGGCACTATGTCTTGATTGTTTTATTTGGACTATTGCTTAGACTTGAAAAGCTGGAGCCGGGGGCTTGCGAGATGTCTTGGTGCATGCTGCAGAGTAAGAGGAGCTGAGTTTGGATCCCAGCACCCACATCAAATGCCGGGTGTGGTGGCATGCATTTGTAACCCCCCGGTGCTGAGGGGTGGAGATAGGTGGATCCCTGGGGCTTGCTGGCTAGTTAGTCTAACCAAATTGGTGAGCTCCAGGTTGAGTGAGAAAAAATAAGATGGAGAAGGACTGAGAAACATCTGACAACAACCTTTGGTTTGCACATGCATGTGCAAATACGTGCACACACAGACATACAGACACACAGATACACACACATACACACACACAGACACAACCAGAGCCAGATTTCACTCTAGCTCCTTCATCCCCCTCACATATTTGAATAATGGCAAAATCAAGCCATTTCTTCCTCTGTAATGCATCGTACACATGGACCTTTTTCCTACATTTAATGTCACCCTGTGAAATTTATTCTCATTTCCTTTCCTGGTTTAGCAAAAATATTCTTGTGAGTCAGGCCAGCAAGATCTCTCAGTGGGTAAAGGTGCTTACTGCCAAGTCTGATGACCCACATGGTGCAAGGACAGAACCAACTCCCACAAGCTGAATTCTGACCTCCACACATACATGTCACATCCACAGGCACACACATGCACACACACAGAAAATAAACTAAAAAGTGTTAAAATCTTGGCAGTCATTTTTATTCCTTCAATCATTTTCTTTTCTAATATATCCTCCACAAATGTCCCAGATCAAATTCCTTAAATCACAGCTAAGTCCAGCCCTCCCTGAGCTCAGCTCTCTCACTAGCTTGTCTCTGCTTTATTGAGAAACTCTCCTTGCCTCCTCTGGGCCTTTGAAGTCCAGCTCAGCAAAGCCACAGACAGACATGTCTGCATCCTTCTCTGCGTATGCTAAAACTTTGAGACAATCTTTCCCCCTCTCACTTTCTGGAAAATCCACAGAAGACGTTTGTGTTACCTCAGGCCAGTCCTCTCCTTTCTCACCTGACTGCAAGACCTTCTCCAAAGAGCTCTTCACATTTATTAATTTTCACCATCAACTTTCATTTTCGTGCATATTGTAACTCCTGTAATGGAGCATCAGTTCCTTAAGGGAACTGTGCAGGATTACACAGGAAACAGGTCTCCTATGATACTATGAGCTCAATAAATGTTAAACGGAACGTCCCACAGCCCCTTCCTCTGGCAGGTTTACATGCTCTGGACACTGCCCATTCAAAAGATGTTAAACTTCACCTCACCTGACAATTGGTGAAATAAAACCATTATAAGGGAAACAGGGAAGGCTTGCTCTCTCTCTCTCTCTCTCTCTCTCTCTCTCTCCCTCTCTCTCAATCACTGGTAGGTCTCAGGACACATTAGAACATGATTAAAATCAATCCACCCATCATCCTGCTACCTGCAGTTCCCATGTAGTAGTTTGGTGTGCACTAATGACACAGAGAATGTTAGCTAGTCGAGCTTGCATCATCTAGGCCTGTTTACACTGAACAGTTTCTCTTTGGAGATGAAAGCAGTTAAAGCAAGAGGAAGGGAATTACTTTCATATGATCGGATTTATTTTCTTATTTTGTCTCAGGCAGTCCTGAAAAACTTCTATATTTTAGGTTGTTTAATCTTCCTGATAATAATGGCTCTTGCTATTGCTCCCATTTTATGGATGAGGAAACCGAGGCATGCAGAGGTTTGGTCATTCACTCAATGTTATGTGGCTTTAGTAGAGCCCCCGAGCACCAATAGGCTGGAAACCTTATCTCCATACTCTTATGGAATGGCTCACTGCTGATTGCCCATAGTCATTTTTGAAAGGGAGAGCAGTCAAGGGAGTGGGTGGGATATCCAACCTTAAAATTGCCACAGCTCAAATCATGAGACATTTGAGTATCTCACTAGGGACACTCCAGAATCAAAGCAGCCTCTAGTCTCTAAAACCACTCTGTTCCTCATCCATCCTCTTCCTAGCTGTCTAAAGAGGATGAACTGATTCCTTACCTCAATCTTCAAGGCTTCCAGTGAGGCTCAAGGGCCAGCTTTGATGTTTGCCTCTCAGGTCAGTTCCCTGCTTCTCAGGTCTCAAGTACTTGATGATGGGTGAGATAGACAAGGCCTGGGGGCAGTACTGCTGTTAGATACCAGGTGACAGGAAATTAACAGCATCTGCTACCTTGAGATTTGCTTCAATTACTTTGGTTTGATATAAACTTACAAGAGCTGAAGAAGACACAAAAAGTTTCTGCCTTCACCAGGAGGTTTCACTTCTTTAAAAACACCCCAGGGGACTGCCTGGGGCGATTCATGCTACCTTAATTAGGAGAACTTCAGCAGCCCCCACCCTGTGAGCAGGTGTGGATGGTGGGTCCCTAAGGGCTAGGAGGGCTCTAGAAATTCTCCAAAGATGGGCCATAAGGACTGGCTTTTAACTTCTTGCTTCACTTTTAGGGCTGAGTAGGTGGGGAGGAGGCATCCATGCAGAGACTCAAGAATCACTGCACAGGTACACTTGGGAGTTTGTACTTATTGTTTCCAAATAATATTTGGTCACACTTACAGTTCAAGTGCCCATGTAAATCTTGTGTCAAGTTTAGCAGAAATGTCCTAAAATATAATTTGTCTCCATCAAACATGTACTCAGAAACTGGAGTCAAGGTTCGGCCCCCATTTTGGGTGATATGAATTGAAACAGCAGTTTTACCGATGAACCCACCCTTCCATCAGTTTCCTCTCTTTGCAGTTATGGACTGGAGCCTGGCCAAGTTCAGGGCCAGATCAAGTGGATGAATGGAGAAAGTTGGTGGCATCAGGAAGGTCATCAGGATGTGAATCAAAGAAAGATTTTTCTCAAAGATAGTATCCCTACCCCCTTAAACAACCTTTATGTTCATATGTTGGACTTCTAATTAATTTTTAATTTCTTTGTCAATTGCATTATTTCGTTAGAGACACAGAGCTATCCACAGGCAACTTTGTTCACTTAATCTAAAGGGTCGAAACAGCCTTGTTCTATTACCTAATCTGAGGTTAATTCATCTCTCTCTCATTCCTGTCTTTTTTCTTGTTTCCTGATTTTTGTTTAAGATGGTTTAGAGCCAAACAATTGGGACCACTGAGTAGAAGTATTTCTGGGGATGGTGATTTTGTGCAGCATTAAGAGAAGTCATCCCTCCATCATCAAAATAGTTAATTAGTGGAACAAGCTGCTATTTGAACTCATTATTATCCAGAAAACTCAAGCAAAAGGTGTTCAGTCACTTGTCAGAAATGGTTGAGTGAGGAATGACAGACCTACCACTCATTTAAGATTCTAGGTGTGGGTCATGTGTATCTGCTGCAGTGTGTAACTGGTGGGTGATAGGGGTGATCATTATATAGTCTTAGTCTGTTTTGTGCTGCTCCAATAGCATATCGGAGACTTTATGCTTTTATAAAGAATAAAGATTTATTATAGTTTAAGGGGCTGGGAAGCCCAGGGTCCAGGGTCCCACATCTGGCAAGGGCCTCCATGTTCTCATATTACAGGGAGGAAGGCAGAAGGGAAAGAAAACCCACATTTATAACGAAAGAGGGTGGGGGCTGACCCATCTAATGAGGAGCCCGCTTCTGTAATAACTAGCCAGTTCCCATGATAACAGTATTAACATTTGTGGGGGAAGGGCCCCCATATCCCAGTTACCCCTTAAGGTCTCAGATCTCACAAAGCTGTATCTTTGTTGTCAATGAGATAACTTCAGCTTAATATGAATCCTCTAAATTAGCTTGGATTTGGTTGGAGTCCACTTTCGATTTGTCATTGCTGATTTGGATTGAGTGTCCTGCCAGTGTTTGAGTTCATTAAAATTCCCACAATGATTAGGGATATCAATAGTATCATCTTTGAGACTTCAATTTCTACTGCTTAATGTTTGGTGACATTTTGTTGAGATTATTACACAGTTAACAACTTTTTTTTTGAAATAGCCTCTTGTCATTATCCAGTGGTCCTCTCATTTCTGAAAGATGCTGACAGTTTACATTAAAATATACCAACTTTCATTCAGTCAGAATTTTCCAGATGCACATTTTTCTTTTATGTATTCCCCTACCTCCCAGTCCTGTCTCTCACGAAAACCACATTCTCCATCAATGACTTGTGTCTTCTCCTTATTCAGTCCCTGGTCTCCGTGTCCTTTGAAAGCAGAGCTAAGTGTTTCTGGGTCCTGTGCTTTCTGCAAGGTTATGAGGCATAGGTTCTGCTCAGCTCTTTTTCCCATGTAGGTGAGGGCAAGCACACTTTCAAGACTTAGGAAATAAAGTATGGCATGATATCAATGGCCTGACAAAGCCCTGGGTACCCAGAGCTATCTGCTGTCAGGGGGCTTTTGTTTCAGAGCACTGGTCTAGCAGATACAAGGTCTCTCAGAACTGAGGCTCAGCATCTAGTTGAAAGCAGAATCTGGTTGTGTATTGGAAGATCCCAATGTTGTACTTAAAATAAATAGTAAGGCTAATGTAAATTCAAGTATTTTTACATGTTTAGAGTTCTTCCTGTTCTAAAGGAGCACTCTATACTTTTAATAGGAAAGTAACATTCACTGAATGCCCATTTATATGCCAACCACTGCCTGCATAAAAGGTCTGACAACATATTCAGTACTGACAGATTAACAAATTTTTTGATTTATTTTTATTTTATGTACATGAATGTTTTACCTGCATAGACATGAGTGCACCTGTGTCATGCAATGCCCACAGAGGTCAAAAGATGACATTAGATCTCCTGGAGCTGGAGTTATAGTTGGTTGTTAGCCTCCATGTGGGTGCTGGGAATCGAACCCAGGTCCTCTGCAAGAGCAACCAGTGCTCTTAACCACTGAGCCATCTCTCCAGTCCCAGACAGATTTGTGACTGCCGAAACTGAAGCTCAGGAAATGGGATAACTTGTTCCCAAACACACAACTAGAAAGTGATAAAATATGAAATGTCTAAAAAGCAAGAAAATCCTCATTAGAAATGGAAAACCTCTACCATCTAACAAGTGATTTTTAAGTTCCAAGTGCTGATGAGATCACTTTATAGATTCTATTTAAGGTTCACAGCAAATCATTAGGTAGGCATTATTACATTTTGGTCTAGGAATTTAAAGTCCACAATATTTACTCTGTTAAAGTCACATGTCTGGACCTGATGAAATGACATTTAAATGCCAGTCTGACTTAAAAGCCGTCATTGTTATGTGTCAGGGGTAACTTCAGATATATGAACATCACTCAGATGTCAGACATTTTTCATCAGAACCTCCCTCCGTGGGAAGTAAAAACTTAAGTCTGGTCCTGGCATTCTCCCATCCTTAACTTTCACACATGTACCTACAGACATTGGCTCCTCCTCCTAGATTATAGCGGAAATGAAAGCTTGTTAGCTCACTCATTTGATTCTTCTTATACCTAAACTGGCATAAAATAATGAGATTTGGAATTAGGGACCTTAATTCAAGTTCTATTTTTAAACCGATTCCCTTTGTGATCTCAGAAAAGTTGGCTGCTTTGAATTTCACTTTCATGTCTGAGACCAAAAGCACACCCCCTCAAAGGGCTGCCATGACATCTGAGATGGCATAAGTAAGATCGGTAGCGGTCAGTAGAGATCCAGTCAGTGGAAGGCAATGCATTATAATGCAATGGTTCATAGAGTGAGGACCAAAAATCTCCTTGGGTTCTCAAGGACCTTTTGGGGTCCATGAGCTCCCAAACTATTTTCAAAATAACATTAAGACCTTTCCAAAAAATGCTTTGTTTATGTGTGCATGCTTGTGTGAGTTTATATGCCCCACGTGTATGCAGGTAGCCGTGGAGACTAGAAGAGGGTGTTGGATCGCCTGGAACTGGAATTATAAACAATCGTAAGTTGCCTGATGTGGGCGCTTGGAACCAAACCCAGGTTCTAGGCAAGAGTAGCAAGTGCTCTTAACCTCTAAGTGTAAGACGTTAAATTTTTTTTTCTTAAAATGAAAAAAAATATTGTGTGTGTGTGTGTGTGTGTGTGTGTGTGTGTGTACGTGTACGTGTGTGTGTATGTGCTGAATCCCTTGGAGTTGGAGTTACAGGCACTTGTGAGCCAGCCAATGTGGGTTCCTGGAACTGAACTTAGGTCCTTTGGAAGAGCAAAAAGTACTCTTAACTATTAACCAGCCCCAACATTAAGATCTTATTCAGGGCTCAGGGACCATTGTGGAAAGGGGGAGGAAAGACTGTAAGAGCCAGGGTTGGTGGATGACCACAAGGAGTTTTCCAGGTCTCTGAACACTGGCTTATATGAACTTAAAGCAATGGTGACAGCATGCATAAGACCCATGAAAACTCAAGCAAGCAAAACCCAGTATAGACCTGGGGAAATGGGCAGCAGGGCCCAACCTTAGCCAAGGAACTACTGGCAGCTGATCACTGCTGGGTGAGAGAGAGTTGATCATCATTAAGGAAGTGACAGTAGATAGGCTGACGAGGTGCCAGTGGATGAACTCACACTGAAGGACATCTGGGAATACAAACTTGACTGATAGGCCTTAACATATATGACAAATGCATGAAATCCAGTGTGGGGGGGTGAGGCTATAGAGGGTCCAGATAGGGGAGGAGGTCTAAACATGATTAAGATGTATTGTATGAAATGCACAAAAATTCAATAAAAATGTAATTAAAAAGAAAGATCTTATTTAGCACTTTTGCTAGGTTGTGATGCTGCACTCCACAGGCTAAAGAGGGTGAGACATGACAGCCTAAAGGCAAGAGTTAGGGAACGTACCTAGTTGCCTTCCTTTAGGGCACTGTGAAGCACTTGCTTCCAAACTTTCTCTGTGTTTGAATCCCCTGTAAATCTCTAAAATCTACCAGTGCATGGCCCTTTCCTCACTCTGATTTAATTGGCATGTGTTTGCCCAAGATGCATTGGGAAATACAGACGTTCCTCTATGTGCTTAATGTGCAGCAAAGTCTGTGAACCATGCCATTGAGGGGTTTTGTGAAACACTAGCCAGTTCTGTTCTCCACACCGTTTTGGAAAATGTAGCAATTTTAGGAAAAATATTTATATTTATGTACGATAATTCAATTTTTTTGTTGTTGTTGTGTTTTGAGACAGTCTCTCATTCTGTAAACCCAGCTGACCTGGAACTCTCTATGTGCACCATCCCAGACACATCCTTGATCTCGCAGACCTCTGCTAGCCTCTGCCTCCTGAGTACTGACTGGGTCATCACACCGGGCCCTAAAATAATTTTTAAGGGTATAAATAGATTCGGAGACAATGAAAGCTTAAGAGCTAGAGATTGGCGGGTAAGGACTAAGATCTCGGATGTGGACCCAGACTTCTAATTGATACGGCTCTGTCTTTGTGAGCTTTGTGATCTTAAACAAGCCGCTTACCCTTTCTGTGCTTCAGCTTCCTTGTTTGGAAGTTACAAATCATTTGCCTCACAGCCTTGTAAGGTTAAGTGAACAATAGACACAACATTTAGAGTGATGTCTGGGGCATGGTAGTGGCTCAACAAATATCTGTCCTCATTGATTAATTGATTATAGATTTTAGTGTTTGTTCCTGTTTGCATTTTGTTGCTGTGATAAACACCATGACCAAAAGTAACTTGGGGAGGAAAGGGTTTATTTGGCTTACATGTCTAGGTAACAATCTATCACTGAGGGAGGTCAGGGCAGGAACTCAAAGTGAGAATCAGGAGCAGGAGCTATGGAGGAATGCTGCTGCTTTCTGGCTAGCTCTCCTGCTCAGTTTTTTTAAAGTCTTTTTGAGACAGGGTCTCCATGTAGCCTCAGGTGGCCTGGAACCCACTATGTAGACCAGGCTGGCCTCAGTCTCACAGAGATCCACGTGCCTCTGCCTCTCAAGTGCTGGGATTAAAGGTGTGCACACCCACATTTTTATATAGCACAGGACCACCTACCCAGGGATGGCAGTATCCATAGTAGGCTTGGCCCTCTCACATCAATCATGACAGTGCCCCACAGATTCCCACAGGCCAATCTGCTCTGGGAAATTCTTCAGTTGAGGTCCCCTCTTCCCAGGTGACTCTAGTTTGTGTCAAGTTGTAAATAAAAACTAACCAGCACAGTATTTTTACTCTTCTAGTTGATTGGCTTATAACATTGACCATCTTGCTCCATCAATGTAAACTTTGCAGGCCAAACCATTCTTCCTTCCAACTCATCTTCCTGCTTATGAAGCAGGAGCCCTTGCATTGAGTTTCTTAAGGAACTCATCAGGAGACTGTCTTAAACAAGGGAAGTCAGGTGACCTGGTCACCCCTGAACTTGAGCTTTGCTTCCTGTCTTTGCTTATAGAGATGCAGAGCCATAATGAACAACAGGGTGATGACAACAAGGTGATTGTCTTCTTGGGGGAAGGGATGGCATTACCAAGAGGCAGGATAGGTTTCATCACACAAAATGTCCCCAGACCATCCTCACCCCTTTTGAGTAACCCTCCTTTTGCTTCAAATAATTGGGAGCTTTTTCTCATAAGCGGCATTCATCTCTGAGCAGTATTGTAATGCATCTTTATTTGCACAGTGGTATTTAACAGCAGTCCTCACATTCTTCCGAGGGACACCCCAGAATTGAGGAAAACAGAGAAATGAATAGTTCAGCAATGCTGAAGATCATCAACATAATCAAAATCCCCTGCAACAGAAGAAAAACAATGGAATTGTGGTATTATTTCAGTGATGGGTTTTATGATTATAATGAGGTAGCTATGCCCAGGTAATAAAACCTTCCCCTCACTCACCTCTGCAGTGTATCTGATGCTGTGGAATCAAACTATCAAACTAATGAAGCATCATGTGAACATAAACTATATCAGCTAGCATAGGATAGCATATTATTTTCTTTGAAAAAATCATGAGTATAGACTATATATGTAAAGTCTGCATTTCACAGACACATCAAATACAAGGGAATACATAGCACAAACATGGTGTGTTGAGGGACAGGGAGAGAAGGCCAAGAGACAGGATAGTAAAGGAGACCAAAATAGAAAGAGAAAGAGGGGGGAAAGAAAGAATTACTAGTCCAGAAAAAGAGGAACATGAAGAAAAAGAGACAGAGAGAAACCCAGGCTAAAAGTACCACTTCAGCTTTTTGTAATCACTGCAGAAGATTCTTGGAGTGTGTGCAGCTAACAGCACACAGAGCCAAGCAGACCATAGGCTAGGCCCCGACACAGAGCCGGTCCCTCTTTGTTAGTTCAAGGATCAAGGAGATTTGTAGGCAGCCTTACTAACATGGTGTCACCTTGACCATGTTGGCCTGTTCTGTAATACCAGTGTTAAACTAGACCCACACACCAAACACAGTACAACATAGTTACAGGCCAGTATTCCCTGTGAATGTAGATGCCAAAGTACTTGATATAATCCCATCAAGCTGATATGTACAAAGGAGCATACACCAGAACCAGGTGTAATTTGTCCCAGGAATGCATGGTTCATTTAAGACAATCGTACTACATGTCAATAGAATAAAAAAAAGTCACATGATATCTTGGTGGATATAGAAAAAAAAATTAGACTGAATTCATTTAAGGATAACAAACCAGGAAAAGAGAAAGAACATCCCCAGCTTGACGAAGTCCATCTACAAACCCCCTAAGTTCAGAAACAAGACAGTGATGCCTGCTTTTGCAACTTTGATCCAACATTGTGCTGACAGTAGTTCTTGCCAGGACAACCAAATGAGAAAAGTACAAAGATCAGGAAACAAGTAAGTAAAACTGTCTTTCAAGATGGCATGGTGTTCTATGCAGAAATTCTAAGAAACCCAAGAATGTGTGAGAACACATAAGTGAGAACGAGAACACAGGATTCAATATCAATACAAAGGAAGCTATTGTGTCTCTATATTAACGATGAATATTCCAACAATGAAATTAGTAAAAAAATTACAGCAAGATTGAAATGTATAAAACACTTAGGAATCAATTTAAAAACAGAAGCACAATGTTTGTATGATGAAAAATAGAAACCACTGATGAAATAAAGGAGATGACTAAAAAAAAAATGAAGAGATACTTCAGACTGTGTGAGTTGGACAACTTTACATGTTAAGATGTTAATAATCCTCAGTATGTTCTGCAAGTTCAATATCACCTCTTGAAAATGCTATCTAAATAGATGGGGGGAACTTAAAATTAATATGGAAATATGTGGACTCTCCATAGCCAAAACCATTCTGAAAGAACTGTGTGGAAAAGCAAAGAACAAAGTTGTAGGGCTTGCATCCATGCTTTCAAAACATACTACAGTCATCAAAGCAGTGTGGCTGTGCCGTAAGAATAGACATATAAATCAATGAGATAGGGTTTAGCATCCATAGATAAACACAGTTATGCTCAATTAATTTCATCAAGTGTGTCTTGGAATAAAATAAGGCAAAAAGTCTTTCAACAAAACATGCTTCGATAACAGAGAAAAGGATGAAACTCGACTCTTTTTACATATACAAAACTCAAAGTTGAGCAGTTAAATGTAAGAGCTAAAGCAATAAAATTCTTTGAAGTAGAGAATATGTCTGTACAACCTTGGTCAGGCAAAGGATTATTTTTATTTCATTAGCTACAACACCAAAAGCACAAGCAAGCGGAGGAAAGAAATAAATTGGTTTGGGAAAGTGAACTTTTAAAAGTACACCACTTAAAAATCCTTTTAGGTGATCTGGGGAGTCCTGTAATGCGAAGTAGACTGAAAGAATAATCCAGTTCTGTGAGAGATAGGTGCAGTGCACTCATGGGGAGGGTGAGGGAGGAAGGGGCTGACCCAGGTTTGGTTGGAAGTTGAGTCTGTAAGAAGGGAAGCAGAAGCAACCATTCACTGCTGTTTGCAGTTGAAGAAATTGTTTCCAGCTCTGGTATCCATCAATGATTCTGATACCACCATGCACACACACAGTGCAACTGGAAAAATCAGTAAACTTCTCCAGGACAGAAGTGGTCAGGTTCTCACTATCAGCATGAGGAGTTATTGATGTGAGGCTAAAGTGATCCATGTGGCAATGGGTTAGTGTTGGAGACATCAGTATGAACCTGTGTGTAGCCTACAATAAATAACAATGAGCTGTTTATCACATGATCACCCTGCACACCCACATTTCCTTACATCATCCAAGAGAGCCTAAGAAGCAAAGCTACCCCAATAGCAACAGCAGACCAGATGCTGGAATCTGATGCTGTTCTCCAATGCAAAACAAACAAGCAAGCAAACAAAAACAAGGCCTCAATGGAGAAATGGCAGATTCTAGACAGAGTTTCTACAAGATGAACCTAGAGAAGCTTGGGACAGAAACTATAAAAGTGTTGAAATGAAAGCGAATAAATGGCTCCACAAAATAAGGATATGTAGAGGATCATAGTAACTCCCGAAAGAATGATCAGTCACGAAAACTGAAATAACTGCACAATAAAATGAATAAACTTTTGTTGGATTGTAACTTCCGGTGTAAAATAAATACTCCTCAAAATCCATGCTGATAGAAAGAAGTTATAGAAAGAATTATAACATGTAAATAGGAGGGCACTCAAATCTTGTCCTTGGAGTAATTTCTGTTAATTCATGTAGACTCTGCCCTGAAGGAATCGAAGCCCAATTTTCTACTCTTTAAATCTTGGTTGCACATAATGACTTCATCTCAAAGACAGAATGGGAAAATGAAAGCTTGGTGTGTAGGTATGTTCAGTATATGAAAATACATCACAGTTTACATCTTTCAGTTTAAAAATGTTCAAAGAGTGTGTTCAGCATTCTGTCTTTCCTTGTAGAAGCTATCACACAGAGACACGCATGGAAAACTGAATGTTAAAGTTTATCAAACGAGTGATAAATTAATCAAAGAGTGACGCAGGCAGGGCTTGGTTGGTCAAGTTTTGTGAACTAAAATATTAGTCGTATTTCCAAAATGGATCAGTCTGTAGAGAATCATCTGGGTCTGAATTTACAAATGGTAAAATTGTTTCAGCTTAGTTTGCGGAGCCCCTGCACTCCCTGCATTTCCTTCCAGTTAGTCTCTCTCCTGAGGTAACTTATTGGAATTCCCTATATTTATATTTTATTATTTTTATTTTATGTGTATGAGTGTATTGCCTGCATGTATGTAAGTCATACAGTGCCTGCAGAGGTCAGAAGGGGCATCAGATTCCCCTGGAACTAGAGTTACAGATGTTAGCTGCCATGTGAGTGCTGGGTCCTTTGCAAGAGCAGCCAGTGCTCTTAACCACTGAGCCATCTCTCCAGTCCCTTGAATCACTTATCTTAAAAAAATAGTATGAGGGGCTAGTGAGTTGGCTCAGAGGGTAAAGGAGAGAGCTGATTCCTGAAAGCTGTCCTTTGACTTTCATGTATGTGCTTTGACACATATATGCCTGCACATTCCCTCACACACATCACATACATAATAATCATAATAAAAAATAAATAAAACAAGAATTGAGAAAGTCTGATTTTCTTTTAATATTTTCCTTGTCTCTGTTGTCTCCATTTTTGCTATACTGTGCACAGGTGTCTGGAGTTTGTCTTGAAAGTGTGCTAATGCTTCTCATTGGCTCTAAGAGCCCCTCACCACCATTTTCCTCTTTCTAAGTCTTTCCTCTCTGTCTATAATTGGAGCCCAGTTTATGCTAGACCTTTCCACTGTAGGGTTCATAGCACTGGCTCTTTCTTCTGCTTTCCCTTTCTCTGTGAAATAGCATTCATTCTGATGTGTGTTGTACAGAAACAAATCTCACCCCAAATACAAAGACTGACTTTAAATTCAAGATGTATACTCTGCATTCATTTTAAAACAAACCTTCTCTTTTACTTTTTATGTTTTCCTATTTCCTGCACCTATGCTAAAGTTTACATTTATTTTCTTTAACTTTGGATTGATGCATATTTGTACACACTTAAGAGGTGCATTGAGATGCACTGATCCATGGATATATTGGGTAATCATCAATGGCATAATTAATATGCTCATCCCCTTACACGTTCATTATTTCTTTCCTAAAGTACAGTAAACATTGTGGTTTTAAGATTTATTTTAGTTTCTCCACTATCAGAAGTTCTTGCTAGGTTTGATTCCTACATAGCTTGTTGCTGGTGACTGTCAGTCGTATAGCCATTTCTTTTTATTCGTGCTTTCAGTGTGAGTTGGCAATTTCCAATGGAAAAATTTGTAGAGGCTTCTTGAGGTTGTTGCTATTTATCCTCAGACAGCCTCTGGTGCTAGGGGTGTCAAATGGCAAGACCCAATTCAAGCCTTGAACACCCTTAGATTAGAGAGTTGATGCTGACCAAAGGTTAAAATCCCAGGGGTCGGGGTACTGAGGAGTGGGAAGAAGACAGAGGTTTGGTCTGTGGCTACAATTCCTGAGTACTTTTTTCTTTATTTTATTCAACCAGTCTTCTCTGCATCTTTGGGGCAGGGTACTTATTCTTGCTGTTCTTACCTAAAGAGGAGAGAGGCCTATTAAGGGCCCAGGTCATTATATCAATTAAGGTAGGGCCCTACCTTGAATCAACCCTGGTCCTTTATTTCTCTCTCTTCCATGTGCTCTCATAATCAGTTTATTTTTTAAATTTTATTGTTTTTATTTTATGTGTTTGAGTGTATTGTCTGCATGTGTATAAGTGCACCTGCGTTGTGCAATGCCTGCAGAGGCCAGAAGAGGGCATCGGATCCCCAGGGCCTGGAGTTACCAATGGTTGTTAGCACCATGTGTGTGCTGGGAATCAAATCCGGATCTTCTGTAGGACCAGTCAGTACTCTTTCTCTCCACATGCAATCATACCTTCTACATTATTTTACATCAATTTTAGTCGTATTTTGAAGAGAACAGAGATAACTGTTTTCAATCTATCATACTTTATCAGAAACCTAAATACTAAAACCAAATCAAAAGCCCAAAATGCTCACAGTTGTGATGCACATGTGGAAGTAGGAACCATGAACATGCTGTCACACCTCATTATCTCTTAGCATACCACTTGATATTATATCATCCTTATTTACAAATATGTTTTGTATCTTTTATAAGTTATAATGTATTTATTGTCCTAATCCACAATGCCTGATAGAATGTTGGCCAAATATTGTGGACTCAGTGAATTCCCTGAATGAAAGGAAACCGGTAATCATCCATAACACCATCTGGATGGTGCTTACTGGGTGCTAGTAAGTCTTTTTGTTTAAACATCTGTTTCATGCTTTAGAAACAACACAGGTACTTACAATGAACAAAACAGTAATACCACCACATGGAATACCTTCCGGAGAATAGCCACAGATAAATTCTTCATCTAGAAGGAAGCCAAATATGAGAAGAATGATCCCAGCTGTTGCTCCCAGGGCACTAAGTAAGTTCATTGCTTGACTCATCTTCATCTAAAATAGAATCAAAACATAACTGAGACTTAGGCCTTCCTTGAGCTATAGACAGAGCAGGGGTGATCAGTGGGTACTAGAGAATAGGATTTGTCACAGCACCAAGAAACGGCAGTGTGATCTTATATAAATCACTTCTTTTTCTTTTGTTTTTAAATCATTTTTATTTTATCTGTATGAGTGTATTGTCTGCATGTGTGTAAGTGCACCCATGTTGGTATTGTGCAATGCCCGCAGAAGTCAGAAGAAGGCGTCAGATTCCCTGGAGTTATGGATGGCTGTTAACTGTCATGTGGGTGCTGGGCACCAAACCCGAGTCCTCTGGAAGAACAGCCGAACTGCTGAGTCATCTCTTCAGCCCCCACTTCTTTTTGCTTTGTTATTTTCTTCTAGCTTCAGGCCTTCATCCCCAGATGGAGGGAATCCAATGAACCTTCGGTGAGTTTGTTATCTTTCACATTCTGTGTCTAAGTCAGCTTCCATTCAAACGGGGGGAAGAACACATGGGGCAAGGAGTAACACAGAGGGAGCTGTGCTGTGTCCCCCAAGGCTCTGGCAAATGGCCTGCTCTTATTTAAACTTTCATTTAGGATTGTGTTTAACTAAACACTAAGTTTCTCTGACATTTAAAAAAATTTAATTGTTTGCATTTTTTATTTTTATTAATACACATAAGTGTATGAGTATTTTGCCTGCATGTATATAAGTGCACCATTAGTGTACAATGCCTGCAGAGGCCAAAAGAGCGCATCAGATCCCCTGGAACTGGAGCTACTAACAGTTGTGAACTGCCTTATAGGAGTTAGGAACCTTACCTGGGTCCTCTGCAAGAGCGGCCAGTGCTCTTAATCACTGAACCATCTCTCCAGCCCCATCTCTGTCATTTTTATGTCTTAGCGAAATTACAAAGTTTTAGGACTAGTGAGGTGGCTCGGCAGGTAGTTTCCTATCACGAACCCTGAGAACCTAGGGTCCCACATGGTGAAAGCAGAGAACTGATTCCTGTAAATTGTCCTCTGACCTCCACATGTACAACAAGGCACATACATGCACTCCATCTCCTTAATGAATAATGTAAAACAATTTAAAATCACAGAATTTTAGGATGTTCTTTGATGCAAATCATTTATTGATTTATTAATTAATGTATTAATTAATGTCTAATGTCTTTGTTTCCCTGAGTGAGATAGAATATTCTACCTCTAAGTAATCTTCAAGTTACAAAATTACATTGATTAGAAATATATTCTTTATTTGTAGATTTCACTTATGAGTTAATCAGGGTGTCTACACTGTACTTTTCCTGAGTCAAACCAGAACCTGTCAAAGTGCTTAGTTATGTAGTAGGCTACATAAATACATATGGAAAGAAGGAATGGGTACGTGACTGGGGGACTGAGACCTGAATATTCCACCATTAACTGACTGGAGGCCTTGGATAAGTCATCTGACTATTCTGTGCCTCAATGTCCTCACCTATAACATGAAACTCACACACGAAAACCCAGAAACAGTCTTCTGCTACTAATGGCTTCTGATTCTATGAATATTTTCCAAATTGGTTTTTTTTTTTCCAAATTGGTTTTTAAAGGTGATTTTTTAAAACAATTATAGTATTTTTAATAAGGTAGAAATACTACTCACCAGAGTGTCTGTATTTTTTCTTCCCAATGCAATTAGAAAGGCTCCAGAATTAATGAACTGTAAAAGAGAATAAATATCTTAATGCTGGGTATGATTAGCTGATATTAGGAATTGTTCTCAGGCCAGGTCTCTGCACATTCCTTTCCTGTCTCCCTGCTTCACAGAAAACTCAGGGAAGTGAGGAGTTGGGTCGCCTTGAGTGATGGTGTACAAATGCACAGTGGACAAAAGACTGGACTGGAAGTCTGCCTTAGCTTGAGCCACTTGTTCGAACATGAGAATTTTTTAACCTCACTAGGCTTTTGTTTTCTCATTCATTTTTCTGTTGTTGTTACTATAACTTCATTTGATATCATGACACTAGTGTCAGTTTACAACCTCTAAGATCATAAGTCTTCTTGATATAGTCCAGCAAGATCTGTTGGATGGGAACATGGGGTAGAATTCAGACTGGCAATTGTGAGAGAAAAACAGACAGGAATTTTCACAGAGGTGGGTGGAGGGCAGTACCATTGTTGTTTAGCAGAAACTTCAACTCTGAGTTCAGCTTCGCTGTGTTTAAATTTCTAGCCTTCCCCTTCTAGCCACATTCCCTCTTCTCATTCCCATGCTAAACTCTCGCAGTTCACAGAGCAGCAAATGCTTTGTTCACATTTCTCCATCCGCAGGCATTAAGGCCTCCTGAGCTTTATAACCAGACATCCTGTTTCTGTTCTCTTGTATTTTCTTCACTGAATTAAACATCTTCTCAACCTTTTAAGACTTGATCAAGCTGGAAATGGGTCCAGACAATGTACCCTTACATTTAGGTGCCATTCTTGTAGAAGCAGCTTCTGTGTCCTCTATTAATACTTGTCACACCCTATTGACTCTCCACTCACCTGAGGAATTGAGACCAGGGTCTGCATTCTATAGAATCCCCACACCCTGCCCATCCCCTGGTGTTAAGTAGGGGCTAAAATAAGGCTTATTGATTTAGAAGATTTATAGGATTGTGTTATGTGATTAAATAAACATCTCTGTGTGATTCAGAAGGCACTGTGAGGAGCCTTCCCTGCTCCCTCACTTTTTACAGAGTAATTGCTTGTTTGTGCCTACTTTAATGCACTTCTTAGACCTATGCAAGGCTGTTTGTCATGTTGCCTTGACAGGATCTATGCATGCTTGCTTTCTTGCTAGTCTGAAAGTCCACCGAAGGAGCTTCATTGTACTAAAATCTAGATCGTTGTCTTGCTCTGAGGATACAGTTTAAAAGACATAAATAATTTGGGATGAATTAATGGACAAATAAACAGTACAAAACTCCAACAGATTATTCTCTAAGAAATTTCAAGACCCCAAAATGGGATACCAACAACTCTGGTGACTCATTGAAGCAGAGAAATACTTGTCACAAGGATAACCGTTATGTTGTATTTTTTATAAAATGTTATACTCAAATCTAGCTCATTTCTTAACTACAATGAATTCACTGACATCCTGCCTGGTTTACATGACTCTAATTGAACTCAATGTGCTATACTTACCAAAGCAGAGCCCCAAAATGGATATCCTGAAATGAATATAAAAGGAAACCTGGGATATGGGTTTACCAAGGTAAAAAGGAAAACAACTCCAAAAGAAAAGTTCATAATTCCAAACAGGATCTGGGTAGTCTGCAAATAAAGGAAAAAAGAAAAAGTTGGTGAGGAGGGATCCAAGGAGTGGGAGCCATTCTATTTAAATTTTCCTTTAAAAGCTTTGGCAGGTACCCTCTCTTATAAATAAGGGAAGGATAAAGGAAGTCCCTTTAAGATGTTCCTGGGTATGTTTTTGTATATTTTTACTGAATTTTTGTATGTTTCATACAGAACACCTTTATCATCTTTATACCCCCTTCCTCTTCAGCACCCTCCCATAGCCCCCCCACTGGATTTCATGAATTCTGTCTTTTGTGTTAAGGCCTACCAAGTCAAGTTAGTGTCCCGGAGGTCCCTCAGTGCAAGTTCATCCACTGGGGTCTAGTCAGCCTATCTAGAGTCACTCCCTTTAAAGAAGATCAGCTCTTCCTCACCCAGCAGTAATCACCTTCCCAATAGTTTTTCTGCTAAGATTTGGGTCTGCTGCCCATTTTCCCAGTTCTATGCTGGGTTTTGATTTGCTTGAGTTTGCATGGGTCTTGTGGATACTGACACCATTGATGTAGGTTCATATGAGCAGGGTCCTGACTTGCAAGACTATTTCCATATGGTCATGCACCTCCTCTCCTGGCTCTTACAAGCTTTCTGCCCCTTCTTCCTCAATGGTCCCTGAGCCCAGGGTGGGTGAAGTTTAATATAGGAGTCCTGTCCAAGGACCCACACTCTGCAGACTCTTATTCTCCACACGTTGGCTGTTTGTGGCCCTTTGTGTTCATTGCCTCCCCATTGCATGAGGGATCTTCATTGATGAGAATTGAGAGATACATTAGCATTGTTCTCTGGTATTTTCTTGATCCTTCCATCTGATGCTTGGTAAAAGGGAAATGCATCTAAACCAGCGTCCTTGCCTGACCTCAGGGTCAGCTGGTTGATACTAGTGGAAACGGTGGGCCTATTCTGTAGTACTTGGCCGGCATCTCCAGGTGTGGCTGGGAAATTTGTCTACATAAGCTCTCCAGCTCTTCAGCGTGTACATGTGAATGCTTGAGGAGTTCAGAATTTTAAGTGACGGAACCTGGAGATGACCTGTCTTTGGAGACTGCTGAAAGTACTGTCCGGTTTCCAGGCCCAGGATATTCCTCACGGGCTTTTATTCTCCATTCTTCCCGTGCCATGCCTCCGATGCGCCTCTTGATGTCCTGCAGCAGTAGGCAGGGGGTTTGACAGGGGGAGCTCACGTCTTCTGCGGTCTGTTTTCAGCTTAATTCTTTGGCTGGGCGTAAGTCTTCAGTGCTTGAGACTTAAGGGCTGTGCATTTTCATCACATCTAGATGAATAACCCCATTCGGACGTCCCACTACTGCCTGAAATCAGCTCCTCTTCCCTTTTAAGCCTGATTTTCTGTCTTCTCTGCCTCTGTTGTTGACACTGTCATCATCTTGGGTCCCGAGTCTTCAGGTCATCCTCTATTTAAATTTTTTTTCTCATTCCTTGATCACATCATTCCCTAAGAAGCTAATTTTTCTATTAACTATATTTAAGAGATTGGACATATTTGAGCTTTGCCCCGTTTTTGCTGCCGCGGGCAACGTTGGGATGCTTGTTTCATGCCTTTTGTGTTTCTCCCCGATGTTAATGGCTATGTAGAGATATCCCTCCACCACCCGCTGGCTTCTTTCACTTACGAGTGTGCATATACGTTCTCCGTGCTTCCTCTGGGCTTGTTAGCACATTTCTTTTACTGCAGAACTGTGCTCTATTGTATGGGCACACCATAATTTCAGGGACCTGTAGGCTGATTCTTAATATTTTTTAGTCCTAACTCTTTTTAAGATATAATTTTATATAAGATAGATTATAAATATAAATTATTTCATAATTCTTTGAGCGTTTCATACATGAGTATTGCATTTTCATGGTTTCCAACCTTACAGTCCCCCTCTAACTCCTCCCATGCCCCCACCCCACTCTCTCACAATTTTTTGTCCTCTTCTTTGATTTTTTGAGATTCACTTATTTCTTATTTTATGTGTGTGTTTTGCCTGCGTGTTAGTGCACCCGTGCATGCAATGTCTGTGGAGGTCAGAAGACAGCATGTTGAAGACAGCATCAGATCCCCTAGAACTGGAGTTAGGGATGATTGTTAGCCTCCATGTGGGTGCTGAGAACCGAATCTGTGTCCTTTGCAAGAGCAGCCAGTGCTCTTAACCACTGAGCCATCTCTCCAGACCCTCTTCTTTGATTATTATTGTCCGTATAATGCACCGAATTCATTCAGTGGTGCTCATGTGTTTAGGGCTGCCCACTTGGGGTTAGATTACCTCACAGAGAGCTCATCCCTGGAGAAAACTGATTCTCCCCTCCTCAGCATCCACTGATTGCCTGTAGCACTTCATCTTGAGGTAGGACTTAGTATTTGTGGAATGCGTGAGTAGTTGGTTGGAGAGATGAGTATTTACAGTATTAAGAGGATATTCTACAAAGAATCTCTATATTCATACACATATATAAGTACAAATATGTTTATGTTATGTAAACCTGTGAGTTCTGAGCTTTGTTGGGAAGATATAAAACCATAGTTTCAGTAAGCTAAAATAGAAAGTCTGGCCTTCTGACTTGATTCCTTTTTTCCTTTCCATCTCTGAAACTAACTAGAAAAATCTCTAAAAATTGTAAACAAAATAATTTTTTAAAAATCAAAAATGATAAAATATATTTTTTAAAGGGCCTGGAGGGATGGCTCAGTAGTTAAGCACACTTTCTGTTCTTCCAGAGGACCTGGGTTTGATACCCAGCTCTTACATAGTGGCTATCAACTGTCTGTAACTCTAGTTCCAGGGGATCCTACACCCTTTTATGGCCTCTCTGGGGCATTGCACACACAAAGTATACTTACATACATGCAGAGAAAACAATCATACACATAAAATAAAAATAATAAAATATTGCAAAAATCTCAATGGTCAGTTTGGAGACTGTGGCTTTTGAAAGCCTAGGAACTTTGATTTTATTTATTGTATTTTTTTAATATTTTCCTGTTCACAGATTCTTGTACATAATTAATGTAGAAATATAATCCATAATTCCTGAACTGAGTGGAAATAAAAGTTAGAGTAGCCTCTGTCTTAAAACGTGTGCCCCCAATAGTTCTCTTTATTCTTTTTCTCCTCCCATTAAGTAGAGTATAGAGAGACCAATTTTACTTACCCCTAAGATCTTCAACTTTTTAATAATGAATTTCTGCAGTTTGCTTTGGGTATCATAGGCTGTGGCTAGAAGTTCTGTTGACTGATATTCTGGACCAGTGACCTCTGGAGGAAACACCAGAAATACAGGGCTGTGCACAGTATCTGAATCCATGATGGTATAGTTGGTCTTTTGAAATGGAAGAAAGTGATGCAGTTGGTACTCCAGTCTAGTCCATGTCTAGACTGATGCTGTCCAGGACACTGGCATTGTTGTGCTTTGGCTTAGAATTATAGAACCCTAGAGTCACAGAGTCATAGAATCTCAGCAATGGTCAAAAGCCCATTAATAAGTGTCCACATTTGTGTATTGGATTGGAAGAGCTGAAAGTAGTCTTGGCTTGGTCAGGAAACACTGTCCTTGGGCAAGTTGCATAATCCTATGTTGCTTATGGCTCTCGGATATGAACATTAACCTAACTGAACTAGATGCTTATAAAATTTTTAGTCTTGTCTTCCTCCATTTTCCAATTTTCCATTTTCAGATGTTTATAGGGAAAAACTTCACAGGCCTTGGAACTAATCAGTCAATTTTTGAAGCACACACAGTTGCCTGTCACTTCAATTTGTTTTTGCCAGCAGATTTCCGTAACTTTTTGTTACAGACTGCCCTGAACCAATGGCTTCAAAGAACTACTAATTTTGGGGCTAGAGAGATGGCTTAGTGGTTAAGAGCAATGGCTGAACTTGCAGAAGACCCAGGTTTGATTCTCAGCACCCACATGATGGCTAACAACCAATCCTAACGCCCATTCCAGGGAAATCCAGTGTTCTCTTCTGACCTCCAAGGGCATTGCACATACAGACAGATAGCCAATACAACTCATACACATGAAAAATAAAACATTTTAAAAAATTATTTATTTAATAACCACATACTTAGAAGAAGCATTTCATTACAT